CCCGCCATGAGGAAGAAGGCGGCGGCGGCGGCGGGCGGCGGCGGGGACCTGCTGCGGGAGCACTGGCTGGTGCGCGACATGTTCTCCTTCGAGAACGTGGGCTTCACCCGCGACGTGGGCAATGTCAAGTTCCTGGTGTGCGCCGACTGTGAGGCGGGGCCCATCGGCTGGCACTGCCTCGACGACAAGGACAGCTTCTACGTGGCGCTGGAGCGCGTGGCCCACGAGTGACACCGGCGCTGCCGCCGGGGACGGGGGCCGTGGCCCTGGGCACCTGCCTGGGGAGCCGGGCTCAGCCGCCGGGCACCCCGCCTGCCCTGCCGCTGGGCTGCCCCGCGGCCTGACAGCGACAGACTGGGCCAAGGCCCAGCGGAGTGACGGCAGCTCCGCCACCCCACAGCCTCGCCGGTTGGCAGCCCGCAGCCTGGCTGCCCTGCACCTGACTGACCACAGCCTGCCTACCCCATGGCTTGACTGACCTACAGCCCGGCTGGTCGCCCCACAGCCCGGATCCACTGACTGAGCAGCACCAAGAAGCGCAGCGCTGGCACAGCCAGCTCCTCACCTGAGCCCACGTGGGAAGGATGTCGTTGGTGGGAGGGTTCCCTGTGACCTGCAGGGACAGCTCACCGTGACAATTTTGCCAAATAGCTTGATCTGCCACTGTCTGGCTGCTCTCTGTCACTTCTGTCTGTGGCAGCTGTTTTTCAAACATGCTGAGATGTCTTTCCGGCTGATCAGTTTGTGACAGAGCCATGTAACTGTGGGTGCTGGCACAAGGGCAGGGGGAGGACAGGACTGCTGCACTGAATCATCGTGGCAGCTTAAATTGTCTGAACTACAGCCAAAGCAGTTACAGGGTTTAAGGCTGTATCTTCTGTTGATTTTCAGAGGAAACATTCCCTGCCCCAAACCCTAACATTTAGGTTCTCTAAAACCTCATCCTACCTGACAACTGTACCCCGTTAAGAGCATATGGCGCTCAACGTGTGTGTAAGGCATTTTAGCTAACATTGTATGCAGTTTTATTAACTGAGTACTTGGAAATAAGATACAGGTAGAGTCTGCAGACAGCATAGGCTGATAGAGTGGCAAATAAAGAAAATTTGCAAGATCACAGTATTTCCAGGCAGCAAGAATGAAGAGTCCAACCAGAAAAGGATTTGAATCATTGGACAAGCAGTGTCTAGTGACTGCAAAACAGCCGTGTGTGTATTAAACAGAGAAGTCAGGAAGGAATTTCTCATCTGTAAAAGCAGCTGGTAGGAGCACTGCTGGGATATTGTGTCCAGTTTTGGTCTCTGCCTTTTAAAAGATGGGCACAAAGATGATTGAAAATTGAAGGAGGCTGCAGCAGCCATGGTTCTCACTGTATTTATCTCTTGGTAATTGTGGTCCAGTTTGCATTCTCCATTTGCAAACCCCTGTATGAATAATACAGCAGCTTTACAGTGATCGTCTTGGGTTACAGAGGACATGCCTTACTGCAGGAGGTGTATCAGTATACTATGCTAATAAACACTTTTGGTACCAATGCAGCTGTAAAGGCAGAACTGTCATTGCACTGGGATGAAGAAGTTGTATTTGCCACCAAAATCAAGATTGGTTGTATTTAAAGATTAGCAATGTTGCTGCCACAAGGCTGTCGTTCCTCAACTAAAACATTTTTGCTGGCAGGAGTCTGTAAGGCAGGCACAGCCACAAGTAGATTTTCCAGAAAGGCATCCTGACAGCTGGTGAGGGAGAAACAAGTCCTTTCTTCTTCCAGTGCTTGAGCACCTGCACTTTTAAGATTTGGACTCTGCCTTAATGTAGAACATGGGGCTGCTCTATCAGAAACCTCTGCTGTGGGCAGTCAAGATCTGTTAATGGGAGAGGGAGAGGTGTAACTCTGTAGTCTGGTGATTAAGGCTCTCACTTGGGTAGGAAGTGAGTCTTGTGCTGTGTCCTTGCTAAATGTTTCAGGTGCACACTTGACATGAAAACTGTGCTGCTTTCCTCCTGCCCTTCTTGTCTTTTAGGCCTAAGACCAGTAACTGAACAGGTTCATCAAGGGAGTGTACCTAGCAGCACAGGAGAGCTTCATTTGGGTTCTGCACAGGCACAATGAAATAGTGGGATCATGTCACTCTAATTTCACGCTTTCACTTAGATTGCTGTCTATTAGGGAATGTGTTTTGACCTGTAATACCTAGATTATAGTCCATGTTACTAAAATATGTGCTGCGCAATAGTTTCATTTTGAAGACACCACTGTGCAGAACAGGCTTGTGGATATCAGCTTGATTAATGCTGAGTAAATGACACTTCTCAAAAATTGGTACATGTGGATTCTTGATATTGGGGAGTAGTCGGTGGGTGGCACTGGGGCGGAGCTGAGGTGGTGGTGGCAGCTTTTCCCAGACAGTAGAACGCTTCCTGGAGAGATGTGAGGCCTCAGGTCAAAGGCCGCCTTCACATCAGTACGGCAGCAATTTGAATGCCCTGCAGTGTTGCTCATGGTGGTGAATAATGAAAGCTCCTCCTGCTCTTCAGTGTGAGAGGAGAGATGTGCTGAATGGATATATCCTCCGCGGGATCCAGGTTTGGTTCCTGCTGACTCTTAAATGTAAAGTAGGATCACACAGACTGTGGAAGTGCCAAGAAGAAATGTACAGTCTGTTGGGAATTCGTGGGCAGAAACTTTTGTACCATGAGATCTTGGGATCTTTTGGCCTCAGGTAGGATCTTGGCTTCCTGCAGCTTGGAGAAGCCATGAGAGACACCCTTGAAGTCCCAAGTAGCACAGACAGGGACCTGGTGCCGGTGAAGGGGCAGCCATGCAGTAGAGCTCTTCAGTTTGACTGCTGGTGCTCAGGAGCCCATCACCTGGGCTAACTCATATCCCGAGAGGTGATGTGAGAATTAAGGGGGGGGGGGAGAATTGGTGAAGAGGAAAAATGGCATCGGTCCCTGGAATATGAGCCCAGGCAGTTCCACTGTGATGTTAATTGAGCATTGGAGAAAGAATGTCTGCAGTCAGCAAACCTCGTCTTAAGGGGAAGGTCTCCTATGTTTATGCAACAGACAGCAACATCAGATTTGGGAGCATCCAATGAAGTATTGAACAGTTTTTGTGTTAATGAGAGCAGTAAAAATTTGGATAGTCTCACAAATAAACATAATCTTTTCACTGCTTTTTATCTAGCATGTTGAAAAAACACTTTTCCAGTTGCCTGCAGGAACTTCTAGGAAAAGAAGGATAGACAAGAGCCAGCCTTCAGGTACAGGAAATGCTTACGTAAGACCCGTTAACGCTCATCTTGCAGCCCATCTTTCTTTATCATCAACAAGACAAGGCAGAAACCCTTATTTCCATGTGCAGGTTGCTTTAAAATTAATTTGAAAATGGATTCTTCTACATAAGTAGCTGCATAGACTTTACTCCTAAGACCCATTTTGTGTTAAACTGTAGCACTGCCAAGAGAGGGAATAGTAACAAATCTGCACCCCTTGCGCAGGGCCACCCCACCAGTGAGGTGGGTGAGGATTGTGCACAGCAGGACACAAAACCTCCAGCCCTTTGGGACTTGCCTTTGTGCTGCTTTTGGGTGGGGACAAATAATAACAATTTTGTCTAATTGCTTCCCAATCTGGATTTAAGGCATGCCTGTTTGTATTGGTTAGGTTTTTATATACCATAAATATAAATGTATTTAGGATGGTTAAAAACAGATCTTGCTCCACCTTGGCTTGGATAATTGAGGCTGGTTCACAGCCCCAAAACCATGGTCTGGGCTTAGGCTGACATTGACACCTTGTGTAACTTCACCTCTGCTCCCTTCCCCATGCAAACCTCTCCCTCAAGCCAGCTGCTGAACCCTTTGCTGAGATTGTTCAATTTTCTGCCTTAGTCTAAAGCTTCTTTTCTTGGGCTGCTGGATTGAAATATGGGAGTTTGAGCTCTGCAGCCTGCATGAGATAATCGGGAGGCAATGGCAGGATGAAGGTCTTCCCATTTTTGGCAGCAGGACGCTGTGAGATCAGCTGAGCTGTCCTGGGTAACTGCTGCAAGTCATCCCTTGCCAAGAGGTCACATTCACACTCTTCTTTCCCTAAATTAAGTGCATTTCACTTAAATAAGTAAGTGATGCGCAGAGCAGGGACTGAATTCAAGGCTCCCTCTCTTCCCAGCACTGCAAATCAACAAAAAGGTCTTGGTTTCTGGGCCTGACACCATCCAAGGTCTCTCCATGATTGCTCATGTCTTAACAGAAGAAATCTTTGGCAGAGCAGTTATGACAGTATGGACTTTGAAGTAATAGCTTGGAGGAGGACTTTGCTGTTTGCGTCCCTGCTGTGTTCTAGAGCTCTGCCTTTCAGCTAGTCCTCACATAGGCAGCCAGGAGGGCTTAAGGTATGATCTTTGCAATGTCTGCAGCTCAGTGTGTCTGCGGAACCCACTGCCACCATGTATGGAGATGAGGAGCTCAGCAGAGTTCAGAAAAGAGCTGTGGATTGTTAAAAAACAAGGCCAGTTTTGCTAGGAGAGGTATTTTTGGCATTATATCTCCTACATATCTTGCCTTGCTTATTTACCTAAACCACCAGCACTACAGAGCAGAACTATTACACTGTGTGAACAGCTACTGCTGTATCAGCACAGGCAGTTTCTACAATGTGTGGGTGTTTGGGAGAAGAGGGATATCTGAAATCTATTATGAATATTCTCTGAAGGTCATTTTACATGCCTGACATTACACTCCCTGGCAGGAACAAGAAAAGTAGGAGGAAAGGAAACAATAGAGAGGAAATAGCTTTGGGGTCCTTTAACAAATAGTGCAGGGAATGCTTCCCTGCCTCCCGCAAAGCCAGGTTAATAAAGGCCAAACGCTAGAATCAAAGGAACTTTAAACCACCAAGTATGCTGGGGGACACAGAAGGAAACCACAGCAGATGAGTGGAACTTGCCATAAATGAGGGCTTTGATAAAAGCCAGCTTTATGCTCCTTTTAATCAATAATTTGTTACCCATTTCAGCATAAATACTTTTGTGCTGACCTGTGAGTCAGCCAGGTTCTTAAAGTGCAGCTTTCTTACAAGTGCAGCTGGACCTTTTTGTGTTGGTGAGGGTAGAGAAGAGGGAGATGGTAGCCTAGCAATCCAGATGAGAGTTACTGAACTGAGGGCTTGCACCCCCAGATGAGTGAGAGAAGCCAAGGCTATCTTGACAGGAGTGTGCTTTGGAGGAAGTGCACTGGCATGTGAAAATTATTTGACCATGCACAGAGTAAAAATCAAGTGCTTTGCTCCCTAAATG